AAAAAAGAATATGATATAGCAAAGAGGCCTGATCATCCTTGAAATTCATGTATGACCTGTGACTCAAAAGTACTCGTGGCAGTTTAGCCGAGTGCTTAGCATTTCAAGTTTCAATCCTGCACTGACGCGGTTCGACTCCCGCTGAGGGTGTTGATAAGACCGATGCGAGGTCGAAACTGCAGTCCACTCCAGCCGGGATGAGAAAAAACTTTTGGGAAAGCAAGGCGATGTGAAATTCAAGGGAAACGTCAGCTCAACTCATATCATTGTGGGAAAATTCTACTACCAGTCCTTCATTGTGTGAAATTCAATGGAAACGTCAGCTCAACTCATATCATTGTGGGAAAATTCTACTACCAGTCCTTCATCATGAAATTCAATGGATACGTCAGCTCAACTCATATCATTGTGGGAAAATTCTACTACCAGTCCTTCATCACGTAAAATTCAATGGAAACGTCAGCTCAACTCATATCATCTTACACGAAATAGGGTGAATACATCTCATTACACTGATTTACTGGTAGTCTCGAAACCCTACTTTCATACGTAACGAAATTGGGTGAATACATCTCATAGTACTGATTTACTGGTAGTTTCGAAACAATACTTAAATACGAAGAACTTCAATGGAAACGTCAGCTCAAATATCATTGTGGGAAAATTCTACTACCAGTCCTTCATCACCTTACCAATGGAAAAGTCAGCTAAACTCATATCATTGTGGGAAAATTCTACTACCAGTCCTTCATCACCTTACACAATGGAAACGTCAGCTCAACTCATATCATTGTGGGAAAATTCTACTACCAGTCCTTCATCACCTTACACAAATGGAAACGTCAGCTCAACTCATATCATTGTGGGAAAATTCTACTACCAGTCCTTCATCACCTTACACGGGAAAACGTCAGCTCAACTCATATCATTGTGGGAAAATTCTACTACCAGTCCTTCATCACCTTACACGAAAAAAGTCAGCTAAACTCATATCATTGTGGGAAAATTCTACTACCAGTCCTTCATCACCTTACACGAAAGAAACGTCAGCTCAACTCATATCATTGTGGGAAAATTCTACTACCAGTCCTTCATCACCTTACACGAAATTGTAAAAGTCAGCTAAACTCATATCATTGTGGGAAAATTCTACTACCAGTCCTTCATCACCTTACACGAAATAATTCAATGGTAACGTCAGCTCAACTCATATCATTGTGGGAAAATTCTACTACCAGTCCTTCATCACCTTACACGAAATAGCGTCAGCTAAACTCATATCATTGTGGGAAAATTCTACTACCAGTCCTTCATCACCTTACACGAAATAGGGGATCAGCTCAACTCATATCATTGTGGGAAAATTCTACTACCAGTCCTTCATCACCTTACACGAAATAGGGGCCAGCTCAACTCATATCATTGTGGGAAAATTCTACTACCAGTCCTTCATCACCTTACACGAAATAGGGTGAGCATCTCATTACACTGATTTACTGGTAGTCTCGAAACCCTACTCTTATACGAATAAAACTGCTTATGACAAATGTAGTCATCTCTGTGATTCAGGTTAGCCCTAAATACTTGCAGCCGGGTGAGGTTAATTTATGGGAAGAAAGTGAATATTGCATACATACAGTGCACAATAGCACAATAGAAAAAAGATCGTATGCTGGTTTATTTTACTTTACCCAACTGTAAACAGGCAGAGTTAGCATAGGCAACCACTTCAATTCTGGGGGGCTCATCACAATAATAAAAAAAGGTAAAAAAGTTAGTAAATGAGATGTATTCACCCTATTTCGTGTAAGGTGATGAAGGACTGGTAGTAGAATTTTCCCACAAAGATA